TACTCGGGAGGCTGAGGCAGGAGAATGGCGTGAACCCGGGAGGCGGAGCTTGCAGTGAGCCGAGATCGTGCCACTGCACTCCAGTCTGGGCGACAGAGCGAGACTCCGTCTCAAAATGAAAAAAAAATATCTCGCATCTGTGCATCGGACTGGGATGTGCAGCCCGGCCAGTGCCGCAGGGTGGGTCTCAGGAGCTACTGGATGCCTTCCGGATGAAAAAAGCCTGGGCATGAGGCAGCAGCTCCCTGCTCCGTGCCCAGGCGCTAGAGAACAGTCGTGTGTCTGCTTTAATTCGCTGTGCGGGGTGGGGGTGGAGGGGTGAGGGGGTATGGGGGCTGTTGGTAAATGGATAGACGAGCTCCCTGCCCTTAAGAGACTTAGAATCCACTTAAGAAGTCAGTGTTCCAGTAAGGCCTGAATGTATTCTTGCAAAATGCAGTGAGGAAAGTACGTAGCACGTGATGGAGGTGTCGGGGTGACCCTGCTAAACAGGCCAGGAGGAGGAAGGGGAGGCCGCCTTCAGGCTGGCATGTGAGGGCTGAGGAAGCACCAGCCGGGAGGAGGAAGACCTGGGGAAGAGCATTCTAGGCAGAGGAATCAGCCTGCTTCCCTCTCTGGGATGGGAAAGAACTGGGCACGCGGGGTGGCTAGTGGCAGATTTGTGCCACTGAGATCTGTGGGCCAGGCCCGGGGGTCAGCAGGCACCAGATCGGGCAGGGTCCTGGGGGAGCCTGTCTCTTACTCTAGGGTCATGGGAGCCATTGTAGGCTTGGAAGCAGGGTGGCACTGATCAGATTTGGGCTTCGTGGAGACTGATCACCTGGCTGGGGGCTGAAGGGGGCAGGACGCAAGACCTGAATAGGGTAGGAGCCCAGGGCAGGAGTGCAGGGAGGCAAGGAACCATTTGGAGGGCAGGGAAAGGAGATCAGGATGGAGGAGGAGATGAGAAACGCTGAGGGGGAGCAGTGCCTTGCGGAGGCGAAAGCAGGCCAGAGGGGACATAGGGGACAGCAGAGAGGGCAGCAAGGGAGACACCTGGGTTTCTGTCTTGAGCACGCAGGTGGCTGGGGTCTGTGTGCTGAGAGACATAGGTGGGGGGCAGAGTTTGGCCTTGGACGTATAGAGGTCACAGTCACCAGTGGGACAAACCAGGGGACGGGTCTGTGGCACCTGGGACCCCGGCCCTGCCGCGCGCTGCCCCCGCCACG